TCGACAATGAAATTATATTCATATTTTATTTAGGCAATATAAACAGTAAAATAAAGCTCTTCAATCTACATCCTCAGAGATACCCACTGATTAACAGTTTATTGTGTATTACAAATTTTCTTCCTGCATAATCAGATATATAGATATAACTTTAAAAAATAAGTTAAGACAGGAATTCTGTTTTCAGGAATATGGAATAGACATACTTTTCCCTATTCCTCCCCCAAAGTATTACTAAAAACCCTAGATGTTACATATAAAATAAACATAAGACAATCCCAAAAAGTGGATAAATGCAGACTGGCTACAGACCTCAAGGCCCAGTGAACAATGTGGTTGTGAACTCCCTGGGTTTTCTTTTTGTCTTGTATAACCCAAACTTGGAGCTAAAGAGGTCAGTAACAGAAAAACCAACGGATGTAGACAAAAAGAAGGCCTAATGAAAGCTGCTCTTAGCCGAAGGACTGGGAAAGGGCCAGCCTAGCAACATAGAAAACTTTAAAAAATTGCTCTACTTCAGCTAAACACCACAGAAAACATCGCAGCCCCACCCACACCAACAAAGATTTAGACTGCCATCTTCACCAGGCTGTAATGAGGCACCCCAAAACTCCAAGTCCCTCCAAAGGGCTAGTGTCAGAGAAGGCCAGGTAGAGGGCCAGGACTTTCACCCCACCCAGGCAGTAACGGACCACCCACCTGATCCCTGCAGAATCAGTGGGGACCATGTGAGCAGAAGTAAAGAGCAATCCCATCCCTGCCAGCCAGGAAGGCATCAGTGCGGGCCTGTGAGGAGCCAGACTTCTCACTGTCACTCAGCACTTACAAGGGGCCCTGCCTTGGGTGTCAATGGAGACTAACTGGAGAACCAGACTTCTACCCCCACATAGCAGTAAGAAGGTGGCACATGGTCCCTTTCACAAGCCAACTGAAACAGAAAGTTTAAATAAGATCCACAGTCTTATAATACTGAAAATGTCCCGGTTTCAATCCAAAATCACTCACCATACTAAGAATCAGAAAGACCTCTCAAGCTGAATGAAAAACAATAAATAAATGGCAAAACCAAGATAAAAAGGGATAATTATTTGACAAAGATTTTAAAGATCTTTGAACAGTTCTGAGCCTGCCTGAAACAAATGAAAAATATGCTCTTAGCAAAAAACCCCAGAAGATATGAAGAACCAAATGGGAAGTTGCAGGAAAAATAGTAGAATAAAATAGATAAGCTAAATGAGATTATACTATACAATCTTGCTTTCTTTCAACTTATTACCTAATGAAAATCCAAGTCTCTCTGTAAATACACATAGAGCATTTTAGTAGCTATATTCCATTGTATAAATTAACTATCATTTATTTAATTAATCCTCAATAGATATTTATATTGCTTATAATTTCTATTATAAACTGAGATGTTTATATAATTATCTCTATCATTTCTACATAATTTGTCATTTTTAATAAATGACACAATTAAAATGAGAGTATCACGTAAAAGGGCACGCACAGTTTAAATTTTCATACACACTGGCAATAACCATCAAGAAAACTATACCAATGATATTCTCACTAATAGTGAATCAGCTCATCTACTTACTTTCTCACATCCTTGCCGACAATGGGTATTGTCTCAATGTGTTTTTTTGTTTTCTAATGTCAGAAGTGAAAATAGTCCCTCATTATTTTTACATACATTTCTTTATTACTAATATGATAAGTATATTTCCATGTGTTTAAAAGCCATAAATAGTCTTTCTTTTGAAAATTACCAATGCAGATCTTTTGTGAATTCTCACTGTTTATCTTACTGATAGAAAAGAGCCCTTGGCATTTCACAAACATAAACTGGTTGATAAATATGGTTTAAATATATTTTCGAACATTTTGTTTTTTTAACTTTGTTGATGTCTTTTTTTTGGCAGAAGAGTTTTTAACCAGTTTGGGTTTCATTTTAGCAAATCAAATTTAACTAAACCTTAGTCCCAATTCAGTTAAAGTACAAAGACATCTAAAGGCTCAGTCCCAACTAGTTTTAGAGCCAATCAACCATAAAATCAACATTCTCTAGAATTAGTCTCTCCATTCTAATAGGAGTAAAGAAGAGGATACTGACACTGGCTAATTATCTATCCATTCAATTAACAATAGACTTTCCACATACATAGTTTCCCTAAGTGGTATCATTGAATTTTGACTCTAGTTTTTAATTTTTTTATCCTCATCTGAGAACGTATTTTTTCATTCCTTTTTTAGAGACAGAAAGAGAGAGAAACAAACATTGATGTGAGAAAGAAACACTGACTGGTTGCCTTCTCGTATGCATTCTGACTGGGATCTAACCAGCCACCTAGGTATGTGCCCTAACTGGGAACTGAACCTGCAACTTTTTAGTCTATGTAACAATGCTCCAACCAACTAAGCCACACTGACCGGGGTGACTCTGTTTTTTTAAAAAATACATATAATGCTCCATTGCCCCATTGGGATCTCACTCCTACTCTAAATCCCAACCTATTAGGCTGGTAATTTGGCAACATACCTTGTAACCCTTTTTTCCTACTGGAGGCTGGACCATTTCCCATGGCTTTCACTTTTATCTGGAAACCTATATCAAAATAACAAAAACTCTGAAAACACCTAGACTGCTACCTGATAGATCATTACGGTCTCTACCTAAGATCTGCTACCATACTCTGCCTCTCTTTGGGAGCTTCACCTAAATTTTGCAACCTTGGGTATCATAATTTGAACTGCTAGTCAACTCACTTGAGCTACGCTCAGCTGGGATAGAAAAGAAAATAAATGTGACCCTGGCCAATGTAGCTCAGCTGATTGGAGCATCATCTCATACACCAAAAGGGTGCAAGTTTACTTCCTAGTCAGGCACATACTCAGGACATGTGTTTGATCCCTGGTTGGGGAGTATACAGAAGGCAACCAATCAACGTTCCTTACACTGATGTCTCTCTCCTCACCACTCCCCGTCAAGGCAATGAAAAAATGTCCTTAGGTGAGAACTAAAAAAAGAAACAAAGTAAAGCAAATGTGATATATTATTCCTTTTTTAATCCATTTTCCCTACTTATTTATGTCTTTTTTCCCCACCTTCCACTCACAGGTTCTAACATACTTCATCACACAAGGCTGCCTGATTTACGGTCGGTAGCCCTAACAACAACTAACAGAGTCACTGAAATTTTAATTTCTGTGAAAATTGCATAACTAAAACCATAATGAGAGAAAAATTGTTTTAAAAGGATACCTTTTAATAATGTGAAAGGAAAAAAATTAAAAAACACTTATCTCTATGTCATCTGATGTTATTCTACAATTTCATGGAATAAAGAATTTATCTACAATGTTTTTAACCAGCCCACAAAATACTTGCTAGTCCTTTCTTTAAATACCAATGTATTAATTAAAGATGTATCTGACATCAATAACCATAACTATAGCATTACTTCCTAGGGCCAGATTATATTACTTAGATTTTTCATCTTCTTCAGTCTAACATTTTTAAGACATAAGTAATTTCTTTTTTAATTAGTTTTATTTATGTTCCAGGATACTTCCCTTAGCTAAAGAAGTACAACACAAGTTCATCCTCAATTCCTTAGCAATCAACTAACTATACTCTGCTGGAGTTAATTTTACAAAGCATCAAAGTATTAACCACACTGGATCAGGAAAATATATCTGGAAAAGATATTATAAGGTTAACCCAATGGCTCTCAACCAGGGGCTATTTTGCCCCCCCAAAACATTAGACAGTACCTAGAAACACTTTTGGCTGTCACAATGGAGGAAGGAGGAGGGCCACCATCTATTGGTATCTAAGTGAAGAAAAGCTAGGAATGCTGCTAAACATTCTATAATGCACAAGACAGCCCCCCAAACAAAGAATTATCTGGTCCAGCCCTGGCCCAGTAGTTCAGTTGGTTAGAGCACCACCCCCATACTCCAAGGCTGCAAGTTTGATCCCCAGCCAAGACATATACAAGACTCAACCAATGAATGCATAAATAAGTGGAACAACAAATTGATCTCTCTCTCTCTAAAATCAGTAAATTAAAAAGATTTTTAAAAAAACCGATCTGGTCTAAAACATCTATGATAACGTTGAGAAAAGACAACTATGAAATTTTAACATATACTACATTGTATCAATGTTAAGTTTCATGAATGTGATTATTTTCATGCGGCTTCGTAAAACAATGACTTTGTTTTCAGTATTGTAAATACATATCAAAATATTTAGAAGTAAAGGAACATGTCTCAACTTACCCACAAAGGGTTCGGAAAAAAATAATATGTAAATATGTAGACAGAAAAATGAATGATAATGCAATAAGCCAAAGTGCTAACAATTGGTGAATCTGATTAAATATTTTTTATTCTTACAATTTGAAATTATATCAAAATAAAAACTTAAACAAGTATTACCATGCCTCTAAATTTCTTTTAACTAGAAATCTTTGCACAATTTCATAGTTTATTATATGTGCAATACAGCAAACCAACTTTCTTTTACTCCTTTCTCAAAATAAATTATGCTATTGAGTGGATACTTGTAAATCTGACCCAGATAACTCAAGTAAGTGTAAGCTGAAAAGGATAGTATCATTTAGATGTCTACCAGGGATATGATGCTCTGCAGTATACTACAGTAAACGCGGGGCCTAACGTCCCTGCACTGTACCTTTCAGGTTTTTGATACATACTGAAAAATGCAATCATTTAGAACCACAACAGATCTGAATACAATGAGTTGGAAAACATGAATAAGTAGTAATACAAAAATATTTTTAAGCTCAGATTTTCAGAAGTTTAATATTAGTTTTGAATTTTTAAACCTTATCATTCTTATTTCTAGGTACTTATTACTTAAATAGCATTTCAACAAACATACAATTAACAGCTTCACAAATATTAGTGGTTTACTTTTGGAAAGTGGTAATTAAAATTTTTAAATCCAGGGAAAAAATTGGGGCACTTACAGATGTCTGGGACATACTTGACTGTTGTGTGACACTTCCTGTGGGGGACGTAGATGGTCTTCCACTGGACAGACTTGCCTAAAATAATAAGATCTTTATAATATGTCTATAAAAACCTGAAATTAAAAACATTCTGATGCCAAGCTACCACAAAACCACAATGAGAGTCAAAATGTCTATGAATGAACCAATTCGTTTCACAGTCAGCATGGATTAAGCTTTGGCCAAACAGATTAAGGAAAAAAACCAAAAAAGCTGAACAGTGGAAACAGGACCAAAAGGCTAATCTTATTTCAATAGCTGCAGTCACTGTCAGTTTTACTCTACAGGCCTCTGTCCTCTCCGAAGTGGAATCACCACTCCAACGTTACAAAAAAAAAAACTGAAGTGACATCAAATGCCAGTGGGTTTCAGTTTCCTCAGATCATGAACTCGATGTTATTTAAAATCACACTACCAAAAAAAGCACCAGCTGGGGATGTGTTTACAAAGAAATAAACCTTTTTCAGGTTCAGTGAACTGAGATCCTCCTCTAGTAAGATTTAAGATTAAATTAAACCTCACATATAATTTTATTTAAATAAACAGAATAATGAAAATATTTTTTAAAACACAAGCATTTAATGATTAAAATCATCCTGTTATCAGTAGGAACAGTATGACTAGATTTTAGAAAGGTACATATGCATATCTTTATACAGAAAATTTCGGGAGGGATACATATTAAACTGGTACACTGGCCACCTTTAAAGAGTGGAAATAGCAGTGGGTGTAGGAAAGGAATACTTCCACTTTACCTCTTACAAACAACTTTATACCGTTTTATTTTTAAGTAAGTATAAGTTATATGCACACTGAAAAAAGCATCTTTTTGTTAACATGTAAATACAATTCATGTAACCCTAAGTATTCACTCTTCTACCTGGAATTTCACACACAACAGCACAACACTAGCATAGCATTTCTGCAGTGTAGATAAAAAGCAGTGGAAAAGTAACAGAGTAACAAAAAACATACCCACTATTTTTTAATTAACTTCCACTTGGCAGCCTATTATATTTCTTTAAAAAATGATCATGAAATATCTGTGGACTCTGAAATAATACCCAATTTATTTATTTTCTGTAATTATCTGCAAATAATGTCAACTTTGGCCTTTCTTTCCATCTCACCTGGACGGCAGCAAGGCTCTGAAGCTGGGAGCTGCTCAAGTGCTGCTGCTGAAGGGCTGCAGTGTGCAGCATCAGGTGCTGCTGCTGGGCGGCGTACATCTGCTGGAGGTACTGAGCAGCTGAGCTGGGCGGGCGATGCAAGGCCTGTTGAATTACCTGCAATGAGTCAAGTGAACCAATATCAAACCATGATCTTAACCATAAAATAAAGTATAAAAAAGAAAGTTTAAAATCTCACTACTTTCATATTCAATGTCATAAAGCTTATTAACATAGTTCTCTTCTAATTACATAACATTAGGATCGTACAAATTTAATCTACACAAATTAAAATTACCCAGTATATAGTCAATTCACAAAAGAAAAAGGGGCCAAACAAGCATTTGAAAGCTCTTCAATCTCATTATTAGCCACAATTTACAAATTAAAACAGGATAACTATTTTCTGATTTTCAGATGGATATAAAGATTTAAAAAGATACTACTACTAACTGAGAAAAGAGATACTCTCATAAATATTCTTAAGAATGTAAACTGGTAAAAGCGTTTTGAATAACAGTGGAATTCAGAGCTTGGCTGCAGAGGAGAATATGTATGACGCTGAAGCCTTTGCAAACAGTAATGTACATCAGTGCCGTCCATGTGGTAGCCACTAGCCACATGTGTCTCCTGAGCACTTACAATGTGGCTAGTGCAACTAAGGAACTGAGTTTTAATTTTACTTAATTTTAATTTAAATATAAATAGCCCCATACAGCTAGTAGCTACTGTGTTGAACAACACACATGTATCTGTATTTATTAACAAAAAGAATTCCCAAATATATCATAAGGTGAAAAAAAGTTAGGTTACTAAATAGTGTAGAGAGTAAATGTCTTCTTTATAATAAAAATTTTGAAAGAATATTAAGGAAAACATTAAAAGACTACTGATGGGTAACTTGATTAGAGGTGATTTTTACCCTCTCATTTATACTTTCATTTAATTTGAAAACACTCAGAATGAGTAGGTACTATATTAATATCACATAAAATTATAAAACAATTTACCTTTTAGGAAATTACTATATTACTACTTCAAATATAATATTTCAAACATTAAAAAATGTTTTTTAAATGTCAGATTCCTTGTTTCAATTGTTTCAACATATTTAGAATAAAACTGTTCTTACTAAAAAACATTTCTGTTAAAAAAGTGTTACTGTTACTATTTATTAGGAAAATATAAAATCTGAGCCTGAAATTTCATAAACAGATAAATGTAGAAAAGTCAAATATTTTAATCATGAAGAAAAACCCGTTATCCGTCCAACCCAGTAAGTCAGACTACACCACATCCCGAAGTCACAGCATGCCCACAGTGGTGCCGAAACAGCACAGAACCCTCCCAGCAGCATCAAGCCAAGAGTCTTCAAAGAGCTAAGGGAGTATCTACTATAAAGCTATATCCTACAGCTTTAGGGTCTGAGTCAGGACACCCTGAACCAAAAAGCCATGCATCTCTTTAGCCAAATTCCAATGAAGCACATTTCCTGGTGGTGTTTGTTTTCATGTGTTCACATCTCATCTCTCCACCCACAGGCTTCTACATCTGCTACAGACTTCTGTCCAAAGTCAGTGGAGGCTTCTGACCCCTAGTTGCAGGGGATTATGATTATACACCAGCATTAAGTAATTCAGAATTATAACAGTATGTCTTTTGGTCAGGTAAATCTATTTGTTCTAATTCCATAACAAATGCATAATCTATTTGACAAATACTTTTGTCAGAGTATAGTGATTTTTCTATTGTCAGCATGTTTCACTAGCATTCAATGCTACACTCACGAGAGAGAGACTTTTTAAATACAAGTTAAAGATATAGCACATTGTTCTTATGTGTTCCTCTAAAGGAACTGGAAGGATAAAGAACATTCACAGGACTGAAAAAGAAAGCTGGAAAGTATTAAAGAACTACTTAGGCAATTCGATAAATACTGACTTGACTGTATTGTAGGGGAAGCAATTCTATGATATCATACAAACTAGTGTAAGTGCTATTTGTGGGATATATTTGTATCTATGCACCTCCAGTAACAATTTACAATATAGTTGACATACAGTAACATACTACTTTCAGGTGTACAACATAGTGATTCAACATCTATATGCCTTACAAAGTGATCACCACTCCGAGTCTAGTAATCTTCCATCACCATATAAAATTATCATGATATTATCAACAATTTCTCCTCTCCTATATATAACACTATTTTTTACTAACACATACAGCTCAGGAAAAACTAGAGAACAAAATGGCATATTAAAATATCGTGTCATCTGTATGTTAAAAGATCTAGATACTCTTTCCTATATCCTTGCCTCAGAGAAAGATGAAGATCATTGAAAACACATTCTGCATCGCAGTGTGAATTTTTGAACTGACTGGGTCTCCAACAATTCTGATTCCACCCATGGTAACTTCAGAATCCTAAACCATACAACAGTTAAATAACCACTATCCTGGAATATCCACTCTAGAAAAACGAATAGGGAGAGGACTATACTGCCAAGTTATTTTCAGGATACAATGCAATTATGGGGAATGTAGCAAGAATAAGCTGGTATAGTGGAAACAATTAAGAACTCACAAAGCGGTTAAGGGCACAACTCTAAAATGAGAGCATCTACTAGCTTTGTGAGTTTAGGAAAGTTATTTAGCCTACTTAAAACATCAGTTTTCCCATTTGTAAAATGGAGATAATAACAGTATCTAATAATCCATGCATGACATTTATCAAATGCTTGGCCCATAACTGTTCAGTAAATGTTAGTGATTATTACTTACCACATTTAATGTGTCCACATAATCCTAGATGCTTCCTTTAATCCTCATAGTAACTAATGAAATAGATAGTCTCATCTTCATTTTACAGTTTCCTTAGGCTAGTGTGCCTCCCACCCAAGACCTCATAGCTACTAATAACAAAGAAAGTGGAACTCAAAGAGCATATCAGACTGCAAGGCCCATGCTCTTTTCATGTAATACCAGATTGCCTCAACTTCCATTGTTATAAAGGTTAACCAAGTAAACGTCATTGTATCAACTAAGTGAAGAGCCTAATTATTTTTCCTAATTGAATATTCCTTTCTACCTCTGCCTCTAAGAGCTTTAGAATATATCCTTCCAGTTATGGTTCTTAGAGCACTTAGGTTTAAAATCTACAGCTACAGACCTGAACAGATCTCCCTAAATCTATATTATGGGTTCAAATATAAAATAACCCCAAACAACTTAGAGCCATTCTGCATGTTGGGACTCCACATTGTAGCAGCTGCCAGAGACCTTCCAATTATAATTTTCCTGATATATTTTATAAGCCACACTCTGACAAGTATAAGCCCTCTCAATAGAATGATTATTAAACACTGTATTTTGCCGTGTATACTGCATTCTCATGTACAATGCACACCCATGTTTTGGTATGCACTGCACACTGGATTATTATGTCCATGGCATATATTCATTATACCCATGTATAATGCACATCTTATTTTCCCCTCAAAAATTTAGGCAAAAAAGTGCACATTATACACAGTAAAATATAGTAACTTTCTGACTATTTCAAACATTAACAATTCTAACTGTACTTATTTAGAGGACATTATATAATTCACTGGATATGAAACAAGAGAGTCATTAGGCGTAAGCAAAAGTAATGATATCCTAAGTCTCAGCCTACCCACCATTATAACTGAAATACCTGTACGGCATGTCGGTCTGATCCACTGTAGACAGAGATCTGTGGCTGCTGCATTCGAGAGGACGAAGTGGTGATGGTGGTAGTGGTGGTGCTACTGCTTGTTGTTGATGCAGATGATGTTCCAGGGTTCGGTTCACTATCCATAGCTGTACTGTGGTCCTTAAATCTGGCAGATAACACAGAGGGTTTGTACTGACAAAAGCATTATCTGATGTGTTTTAAAGAATATTTAATAGTTCCAAAGAAATAATCAACAGTCTTAAGTTTCTAAGAAGGCCCTCAAAACACAGCACACAGTCACCATAAACACTTTGAAAGAAAAAGTACTTCAAAAATAAATGTCACATTTAATACTTAATGCCAACTAAATTTGAATTCAAATGGTTCAGGATATATAACTCAGATAAAAGTCTGGCCTAAAGTTTAACTTTTCATTATAGAAAGAAGATGAGTGTCTTGAAACCAAAACAGGTGATGAGTGAATACTAAACCACCTAGGCAAATAAATACTGAAGCAGTATCAGAGTACTTTAAAACATAAACTCTTATGTTTACATTATTTTGACTACACTAATTATAAGTTAAAAGTCATTCTTATCTATATATTAAAATAGGGTGCCTAAGGGCTCATGAAAATTACCTTGGTTTTTGGCTACCATATATACTTGCTTTAAAAATAAGTTCTCTTTACAAAATAAGGTAATAAAAATGTTAAAAATCACACTGTCTTTGCTACATCTAATAAGTAGAATGAGTTATACTTTCTAGCAGATTACTCTGACTGCGTAAATAGAGAAGAAGCTGACAATTATTTCCCCACTTCCTTACCAAAAAAATCTTTTTAAAAAACTGTCCCAAATTTTGAAAACAGTATAATTATGTCACTTTCCTCAGGTATGGACAGTAAAGTACATTTTTGTACAAGACTCTGATATTTTTCCCTCTAATATATATAAACTCACTTCACTGTTACATAAGGAATTCCATTACATATGGAATTTGTATCTGAATAAACTCTAACATTTTAAGTCAATTCTGAGGGCCTCGATGTTGTTAGAAACTAGAACTACAAGTAGTGTTTGTGTAGGGTGAGAAATGTGCCACAATGATGAAAAGCACACAGGAATATACTGGTTTTATCTACCCTTCTTACCCGTCTTTCTTCGGAGAAGAAGAATCTGGCCCGCCTCACATTAGCAGCACTGATAAGAATGTAACAAAAACACTTTCTACTTCAAGAAAAGACAAAGAAATTTGGTACTAATTGTGTATGCATACACCATTCCCATACTGTGTCCTTTTATATAAAAGTTTTCTTTGTTCTTCACATCACTCATGTAGATAATATTTATATGCTCTTCAGAGAATCAAGTGTTTTTAAAAAAATCTCCATTTAATAAGCAGTGAAAGGAAAAAAGTGGGGGACAAAAGCTGACTACACTTACTTTTTTGATTAGTAAATGACATCTTTAGGCTTCTCTGTTGGTTATTTAAACAGTTTTTCAAACTGCCTTCCAATCATCAAATCACAGCATCTTACGATAACTGTTCAACATCTTAGAGATTTAGTGGTTGGTTATTTAAACAGTTTTTCAAACTGCCTTCCAATCATCAAATCACAGCATCTTACGATAACTGTTCAACATCTTAGAGATTTAGTGGTAGACAGAGTAAACTTTTTCCAAACTGCAGGCTGTCATTACACTTCTGAACCTCCTACCAGTGATACCAAATTTCCAACGTAAATTCTGGTCCCTTTAGAGTGCTATTCCGCTCAACCATACCCTCAAACCCAAACCCTATGATAAGCGGTTCAGCAACTAACCAAAAATGGTCACAGAGAATCCAAACTGAAGGCACAATTCTAAACATCGGTGAGCGGAACCGGCCAAACCATTGAAATGCGTTTGGAGACCTGGCACAAAAGAACAATTTTTGTAACTCCACCGTCTATGCACAGTAGCGCTTGCAAAACACAGTCCGCAGTCCTGGAGCACAAGAGGCCTACCAGTCACTACTAAGTTTGCGTCCCTAACTATGCATACCATCACACAGCCACACAAGAATGTGGCCCTCTAGGGACGCATCTACACTCTTCCCTTCCCAGGGTGTTTTCGGCATGGCCAGACCCACGGAAGCCCCCGCCGCTCTAAGGCCCACGCCCGAACACCTACTCCAGGCTTCCCGGGGGAGGGGTGAGCACCCCCACGTCTAGGGCTCTCCCGCAGAGAAAGGGTGGTGACATCCGAGCAGGAAAGAGGGGAGCGCGAAGGAGGCCTGGCAGTGCCCGCCCAGCCCTAGGCAGCCTCCGCGGGCCCCCGGCTGACAAGGCTGCCCGCGGGGCCCACTTGCAGGGATGACAGCACCTGAGAGGCCCACAGGGGTTGTCCCTCGGAAGACCCCAGATGCCGGGGTCCAGCGGTGACCCTGGGCACCGTGCACCGCCGATCCAGGACCAGTTCGCGGAAGAGGCGCTCCCGCCTGGAGGTAACTGGACCCTTACAGGTCGCCCCCCCGCCAAACCCCAAGGGGCCAAACGGGCTCCTCCACGAAAAGGGAGCTCTCGGGTCTCCCTTTCCCTGCACTGCCCGCAAAAGAACCCTGAGCTTTTCCCTTGAGAGACACGTCGCTGCCCCCACTCGCCCCCCGACTACGACATCAGTCACCAGCAAGCCACTCACTCCGCTTCCGCCATCTTCTCTCCTCCATCACTAACACAGACTGCGCATGCGTCCCCCCTCCCCCGGCGGGAGGGCGGAGGGGCTGGGTCGGCCCAGCCCGGGGGCCCCCTGGGTCACGTTGGGTCATGGGCTCCCAAGCCCGGGCTTCAAACTGAGGTCCTACTCCCTCCGGAATTGACCAGGTCTCCCCAGTTTTGATTCCCAAGTGCCTTACCTCCAACTCCTCGCTTTCTCTTGCCTAGGGTCTTCTTCCTCTTAGAGGGGGGTCTGTAACCAAAATAAGAAAAGTTTCGTGTCAACTATTAAATTAAAAATTTGAATATATAAAGTATACCAAATCCTAGGAAAACTGCAAAGAGTGAGATGAAAGAAAGTATCAGAAGGATTGGATTCTAAGGTCTCAGAGGGAAAGGAAGATGCCTTCATGGCTGCAAGGCTTGTTACCTAGGGAGCATTGGAGTTTGGGGGTCGGAACCCGCAGTTTCTTTCTCTCAAAGATTATGTTCAGGGTGCTGGTGTGGTGGGTGGTTAAGAAATCATCCTGAGCCCTGGCTGGTGTGGCTCAGTGGTTTGAGAGCAGGCCTGTAAACCAAAGGGTCTGCAGTTGGAGTCCCAGCCAGGACACGTGCCTGGGTTGAGGGCCAGATCCCCAGTAGGGGGCGTGCAAGAGACAACCACACACTGATGTTTCTCTCCCTCTCTCCTTCCCTTCCCCTCTGTCCAAAAATAAATAAAGTCTTAAAAAAAATCATCCTGATTATCCTATGTCTTTGAAATGAATGTACTGAGCGTTTAGTAGGGGTTGCAAACTAGAATAATACCACAGGGAACAGCAGAAATGGCCACAGCTTTGCTAATGTAGTTTATTAATAGATATAGATAGATATAGGTATATAGCAACTACTGTGAGTCAGGAAAAGACAAAAAATGAGTATAAAAAGTCCCTTTCCTCCAAGAACAGCCACTGATGGAAGAGCAAAATATGTGGGAAGGGGTGCAGAGCTTCTATGCCCTCTCCAGCACCTCACTCTCCCAGGAATCCCATGGGTTCACCAACCCCAAAACTCTCCAAACCCTGCCCTTCTGGGGTTTTTTAAAGGTTTCATTATATAATTATGATCGACTAAATCATTGGTTATTGGTGGTCACTAATTCAACTTCCAATCCTCCCCTCCCTTGAGAAGGGGGAATTACAAGGAACTCTTGTGTCATGAATAGGGTAGAAGACCTACCGTATATTACTTATTATAAATCACAATATCACAAGCACAAACTAACACAAACCCACAGGCTAAATACAGTCTGCTTTTTGTTTTCGTACAGCAATCAAGCTAAGAATGGTTTTTACATGTTCTGATGACTGAGGGGAACATCAAAAGAACAATATTTTGCGACAAATGAAAAATTACATGAAATTCACCTTTCAATGTCCATAAATAAAATCTGTTAGAACACATTTGTGCTTGTTCATTTATATACTGTCAATGGCTGCTTTTGGGCTATAAGGACAGAACTGAGTAGTGGCCACAGACAGTGTGATGCCCTACTTACTATCTGGCCCTTTACAGAGAAAGTTTGCTGACCTCTATTCTGTGTCACTGATCAACCCATGCTGGACTCTTTCAGGTTGGTTAATACAGCACACATACTGTCCTATGCTTCAGCTAGCCTGTGATTGCTCTCACAGAATCCTATGTGGTAAGACAAAAAGTCCACAGACCCAGATATGAATACTGTGCTCATTATGTTATCAAGTGAGCCACCTTAGCCAAGTGATTGAACTGCTTCAAGTTTTAGTTTTATCACGTGCATAAAAGGGGAGACAACAACACCTTACAAGATGGTTGTAAAATCTTAAAAAGTAACATGTATTCTAAAAAGTCCTCTTGTTCTTTTTTAACTTTTTATCAAGATCTTTGTTCGCCAATCTGCTCAATAAGTGTTACTGAGCATGCCTACTATGCAATAAGTTTTAAATGCTTGTTAAGGAAATGACTGACTGCTTGAATATTCGGATGAATGAGGCATAAAATTCTAGTACACCCTGTAAGTGGGAATGACACTATGCATAGACTTGCTTTGTCTTCTACTTGAAAGTAATATACTGAAACAAAATACTTTTATTAAACCAAATAGTATTGACGCTGAAAAGGCAGTCTCCAGTCCTTCCAATTCTCAGTATGTTAATCACAAGCTTATCAGTCTTATCTTCCCATGTATACCTGTGGGTGGCGTCATACATAGTCAGCTGTATCTCCCCAGGTGCTGAATAGTAGGAACACTGAACATTAAAGCTGGAGGGACATTAGACATCATGCGATCCACACTGAGGAAGAATCCATGGCAAAAGAAGTTGAACTCTGATCTATCCACCCAGTCCAGAGTTTTTTGCCTTGTGCCACAGGCCTTACTTCAAGTGTGCAGGTGCACGGGAACATTACTATGTACTTTCACTTTCATTTTGCTTTTTCTTGTTTAGTGTTTGCTTAGCATCATGGCAGCCTGAACGAGTTGTTATAAGCAGGGCTTTAGAATCAGACAAACTTAGACAGGAATCTTGGCTCTTCCACTCGCTACCTGTGTGAACTTTTGCAATCCTGTATGCTCCATCTTCAAAATATAACCTCATCTCTACTGTGAACACATGAAATCATCCAAATACAAATCAAATGGTACACCCTTACTATCTCCATTGTTATCAGCCTAGGCCCGGCATCTGCCTCTTAGACCACAGTAGTTGGCTTCTAACAGGTCACCTTGCTTCTACTCTCATTCCTCTGTAGCTTTTTCCTCAGCCATCAGCCTAAATAAGCTTTTAAAACTATCTGGCTGGATAGCTCAGTTGGTTAGAGTATTGTCTCCATATGCCAATGTTGTGGATTCATTTCATGGTCAAGGCACATACAAGAAGCAACCAATGAATGCATAAGTGGAACAACAAATGTTTCTCTTTTTTCCTTCCTCTCTCTCTCTCTCTCTCTAAAGTCAATTAAAAAAATGTAAATCAGATTATGTCACTGCTCAAATCCTCCAATGGCTTCCCATCACACTTAGCAAAGAGCCCAGAGTTTTTGTCTTATTCACTCTGCCTCAGCCACACTGGCCTCCTTGTTTTTTCCTCCTTTGCTCTTCTTGCTCTTCCCCAGTGGCAGTGTTTCACACAGATCTCACTTCCTTACCTCTTTCAGGGCTCCGCCCACTTATCTTCTAAGAGAGCACGCCACACCACCTACCCTAACGTGGCCTTCTCAGCCCTGTGCCACTTTACTTTTCTTCATTACAAAGCAATGCACCACACATTCCGTTATGTACATATCGGTTTACTTACTCACTACTCCCATCAACCTCCAGGTTGTAAGCTCCACGTTTTGTTCGTTGTTTTCCCAGTTGTTAAGCATTAAGTGCTCAATAAATGTGCACTGAATGAATGAAGTTACTTAGCCTTTCTAGTCCCCAGTTTCCTAATCTGAAAACTAGGGATAATATTTGCTACAAGTTATTGTTGAAGTTAAATAAAAATAGAAATAATGTACATATACAGTAGTGCATAATAAATGCTCACTTTTTGTTGTTATTTTGCCCCATATTATGCTAAAAGTAAAGGAAAATAATCCTCTTACCCTATTTCCAAAGGTTATGATTTTTAAAAGTTATGGTGAGTTTTTAGTTTTAAACTTAGCAGTATACATTTTTTAAACTTATATCTGCTGCATTGTAAAGTATTTTGTGTCAGTATGAGAGAATAGATATTTGCCCGTATGCTCCTAAAGTATTAAAATAAACTGTCATATGACCCAACAATCTCTCTTCTGGGTATCTACCCAAAAAACTCTAAAGCATTTATTCAGAAAGCTATATGCACCCCTATGTTTATTTCAGCATTATTCACAGTGGTCAAGACATGGAAGCAACCAAAGTGTCCTTCCATAGACTAGATAAAGAAGATGTGGTACACATATACGATGGAATACTACTCAGCCACAAGAAAAAAATGAAACACTGCCATTTGTGACAACATGGATGGATCTAGAGAACATTAAGCTAAGCGAAATAAGCCAGTCAGAAAAAGCTAAGAACCACATGATATCACTCATCGGTGGATT